TCCACAGGAGCTGTGCCCTCCACTGGTTTACCCACCCCCACCCTTTATCAGTGGCTACCATCCCCCCAGCAGCCATGCTGCCCCCCCCACTTATCAGTGCTCCTCTACCTTGCCCCCCAGGCCCTTGGGGACTGTCCCGTCCCTCTCACCCCCCACCCCGCCAACCCCAGTGCTCACCCCGGGGGACAGCAAGACCTGGACAGTGATGGAGACGTCCTTGTCCGCCCGCTTCCTCTCGGGCTCACCCTCGGAGTGGCGCGGCCGGCGCGAGCCCGTCACCGCGATGCCTTCCTGCTCGGCCTTCTTCCGATCCTCTTCGATCTCCTGTGGGGAGCGGCAGGGACGTGACGGGGCTCCCGGGCCGAGCGGGGGATGCCCCCCCCACCTTGATCCCCAGAGCAGAAAGCCAGGGCTCCCCAATGTATGCACCCCGTCTTGCCCCTGGAGCCTGGTATCCGCACTCCAGTGCACCCATCTGGACTGGTACCGAACCCCTTCCCCGCTGCCCCAGAACTGGCCATCAGGCCCAGAACGCGCCCCCCCCACCCCCGCCCCCACCCACAGCACCAGATGCCTCTGCTTCAGAGAAAATAACCCTCTCCCCCCATGTCCCTGTTTAGGGGACCCCCAGGGATTCTAGGTCCTGACCCCCTCCCAGCCTGGTGTTACATAAACCACCCCTGGCGCTAAGCCGCTGCTGGACGTTTGTGTCTCACGAGCCGGATTACACGGCTCCTCAGTGCCTTAGGGCACGTCCGACACCATGGGGAGGAACCCGCTGCAGGGGTCGGCGGTGGGAGGGGGGGCTGGCTCCGGGATGGGGGGACTGGCACCGCAGGGGAGGGGTCGGCGGTGGGATGGGGGGATCAGCGGTGGGATCGGGGGGCTGGCTCCGCAGGGGAGCGGTCGGCGGTGGGATGGGAACTCACTGGGGCTTTCCTACTGCCCAGCACTTTCTGGCACCAGCCTGAACCCCCCCAGCTCCCACCTGGTAGCGCTTGATGAGCGCCTCGTTCTTCTTGCGCAGCGCCTCGATGCGCTTGTCCAGCTCCGCGTCCTTCTCCTCCTTCGACTTCAGGTCCAGCGTGGCCGACTAGGGAGAGAGCGGGGAGAGCTGGGGGGGCCCACGGGCCGAGCCGGGGCAGGACCCCCCCGCCCCACCCGGGAGCGGGGCAGATGCTGCACGTCCCTCCCCACCCCCCAGAGGGGCCCGGCTGGAGCCCGACGCCTGGCACCTCGGGCCCCGGGGGCTGTGGGGGGCTGACACGGGCTGGGGGGTCCCCCCAACTCTGGGCTGGGTCAGAGCAACAGGGGGGACCCAACTGTGGGGAACCCCTGGAGCTGCCAGCGGCACCGTGACCCCAGGGCGGGACTCCTGCTCCACCCCCACTTTGCCAGGGGCACCCCAACCCGAGGGGGGCAGGCTGGAGCCAGAGCTGTGAATGCAGCCCCCCCCCCCCCCTCCCCCCCCCCCACCCCCCCCCCGCCGATCTCCCCCCCCAGACTCACCATCTCCTGGGCCAGGCCGGGCCGGGCGGCTCCGCTGTGAAAGACACCAGGGGTCAGTCCCGGGCCTGGCCCCTCCCGTGTGGGGCAGAGCCAGGCCGTGACCCCACTGCACAGAGCTGGGGGGCGCCCTGGGGCACGCAAAACGCCACGGGCGGAAAGACAGAGACCGACGGGGGGAGACCTCTACCCCCCATCCCCCAAATCCCCCCCACCAGACCCACACCCCAACCCCCCACCAGCCCCACTTACCCCCCGTCCCCCAAATCCCCCCCACCAGCCCCCTACCCCAACCCCCCACCAGCCCCACTTACCCCCTGCCCCCCAAATCCCCCCACCAGCCCCACACCCCGCCCAGCCCCCCGCAACCCCCACCCTCCAAATCCTCCCCACCA